GTAGCTCCACGCTGGGTGGCTCCAGGTGGCTCCACGTTGGGTGGCTACAGGTGGCTCCGCGCTGGGTGGCTCCAAGTGGCTCCATGCTGGCTGGCTCCATACTGGGTGGCTCCACGCTGGGTGGCTCCACGCCGAGTAGCTCCACGCTGGGTGGCTCCAGGTGGCTCCACGTTGGGTGGCTACAGGTGGCTCCGCGCTGGGTGGCTCTAGGTGGCTGCACGCTGGGTGGCTCCATGCTGGGTGGTTCCATGCTGGGTGGCTCCACGCTGGGTTGCTCCAGGTGGCTCCGCGCTGGGTGGCTCCAAGTGGCTCCATGCTGGGTGGCTCCACGCCGGATGGCTCCACGCTGGGTTGCTCCAAGTGGCTACGCGCTTGGTGGCTCCAGGTGGCTGCACGCTGGGTGGCTCCATGTTGGGTGGTTTCATATTGGGTGGCTCCATACTGAGTGGCTCCATGCTGGCTGGTTCCATGTTGGGTGGCTCCAGGTGGCGCCATGCCGGGTGGCTCCATGCTGAGTGGCACCACGCTAGGTGGCTCCACGCTGGGTGGCTCTATGGTGGGTGGCTCCATGTGAGTCAGAGCCGCACCACGCTCAAGCTGGAGTCGTCTTTCTGTTTCATGGAATCGCGAGAATAATATTGTTTCCGTTGACCACCGTGGCCTGGAGGGGCACAACAATGGCCATGCGGCTCTTATTGAAAGTGGTGCGCGATTCGGTGCTTTCTGACGGTCTAAGGGGAGGGGGGCAGAAGGTGGTGGAGGGGGGGGCACGTGATGATCGTGGGAACTACTACTGCTATTATTATTATTACTACGATACTATAGCGAGACGTCACGCTTACGTGAAAGGGGACAATCGCGCAGCCAGAGTGAGGCTAAGATTCCACAACAGGCTGCAGACATCCCTGCAGAGTGCTGGGTGTGCGTGGCCGGGCTGAGACCATCACCTCGCTACACGAGTGACCCCGGTTTAATCTCCGACCTCTGAGCCACCTGGTCCCCTCCTCACAGCGCCGTTCCTGAAAGAGTGCGCCCGGATGGAATATCTTCCCACTCCCTGCAAGGACGCGCGGTATGCGTGGAAGGAGAGCCGAGAGGGGGGCGCCCGGCGCGGGGAGCTTGGACCTGGGAGTTGGGTGAAGTTGGGCTCAGCTGTTGCCCCCCCCCCCCCCCCCGCTGGATGTGCGTGCGGGGAGTGCGGGAATCGCCTCCCTACACCCCCCAGCTGCTTAAGCAGGCGAGCAGATCTCTCACAGCACGGGTGCCTTCACTTCCTGTCGTGTGACGGGAAGGGGCTGTTCAAATATCCGACTGAGAAGCAGAATAAGTATGTTATCTTTATAGAGCGCGTATGCGACTATCTGTACCCCATACTTACAGCGCTGCGCCCTGCGCGTTCAGATGCTGGCGGCGAGGCGTGAACGCACGGGCACCCTGCACAGCGCGGAGCCTCGACCTGCACTGCCCGACCCCCTGCACGGCATCGCACCCTGCATCGTGAACCTCCACCAAGCACAGTGCACTACATAACGCTGCCCAGCTCCTACTCTCGAGAACCCGGGGCCTACTCCCCGCGTCTCTCGCTTCCTCGTGGACATAAGTTTCCATTACACACAAATATAAACACACGTACACACCAAGACATACACAAACACTAACAGACTGTAGGATCAAGTGCTTTTAGCGAGCACCTATGAAGGCTGGAACGCTTTATCAGGGGATGGGTGGCCAGTACCACACCCGAACCCCTTTTTCTCCCTAGTGGCGATATTTTCACACCGCACCAGGTACTCATTTGAGGCTGAGCCGACCTAGGGGAGGTCCAGGACCGGTTCAGATAATCGTCATTGGCGTCGAGCGTGAGCGGGAATCGAACCCGGGTGTGCAGGTTCGAAGTGCTAACCGCTACGCCACCGCTCCCTATGCCTTAGACACACACGCACACACACACACACGCACACACACACACGCGTACACTCAAGAAGCAAGAACAATCCGAGCCAGCCCCAGCCACAGTTTCACCGCGCGCCCGCGTGAGCGCCACAATTACGGAGCGGCGGAAACCCATCACGTGCTTTGTTTTTCACGAAATCCTGACATCGGCGTCCACCGAGGGCGAACTTTCCACCGGCTACGTCCAATGTACGACAGAAAATACAATGGGGCTCAATGCTCAAGGGTGGACTTAGCGCGGGACATTGCGCACACAGACACACGGACACACACAGACACACAGAGACACACGGACACACAAAATACAAAGGCAAAGATCCTGACAGGCTGAAGAAATTTTTTAGGGAAAGTGCTGTTAGCGACCTACAAAGGCCGATACGGTACACGAGGGAGTGGGTGGCCAGAACAACGCCCGACCGCCTTTGTCTCCCTCGCGGCGATGTCTACAAACCGCACGAGCTTTTAGACTGATTCAATTTAGGCGGTCACACACGGACACAAGATAAAGACACACATGGACAACAACAGCCGCCATTCACCACTAAGTGGTGCACTTCTAGGCCACGTGAAGTGTTGAAGGCTCGCTGACAGGTCACGGGACAGACCCAGGTACCATTGGTTGACTGACTGAGATGACTGGCAGATGCACAACGGGCATGGGGGGAGACGCGTGCGGTAGAGAGAGGGCGACTTCTCCTGTGACGTCCCCCGCCTAATGAACACACCCGGCCTTCCACGAACAGTTCGCCCTCCATGCAGCGGGTTTCACCGTCGTCGTCAGCATCATCAACAACGCATAATCATCATCAGTATCTGTACAATGAAAAATCAGCGTCAATGAGATATCAGTCACCATCAAATTCGTGATTGCACTCGATCATCATCGGCACAATTTGTCATCTAGATTCAAAACTCTTTTCTTTTAAACTGCTTTTTGAGTGTAGTGTGTTGTATTTCCCCCACACCTCCGATTAGCACGGCTGGCTACGAACGGTGCGAAAGAAGTTCAACACACAGACATACAACACTCTCTGCCATTTGTAGTCATCGGCAAAGTCATCATCATCAATCATCTGCACATTTCATTATCATCATCAATTATCATCAATCATCTGCTAGCACGCATCATCATCATCAACATCTGTCTCTGGAGAGATGGCGATTGCGTCACGTCGCTACCTGGGGAGGGGGGGCGGGGAGTTGTTCCCTCGTACCCCCCCACCCCGCAGTGCCCCCCACCCGCCCCCCAGCCATTGTCCCAACGCGTGCACTTCCTCCTACGAGCGGCCGCCGGGGCGAGGTTTCTCTTCGCAGCGCGGGACCCGAGACGTTTTTTTTCCAAACGCTTTTAAGAAGGAAAACAACGCGAGGTGCGGGGAGCAAACATGGGGTTGAGTGCGGTGGGGGGCAGCCGGGGTGGGGAGGGGGAATGGGGGGGGGGGGGGTCAGGGCGCAGGGAGCTGTAATGCGCAGGGTGCTCTCTCTGTTAATCAGCCACGTCCTTTCTCAAAGACGTGGGCGATGATGGCCTCCTGTCCACTGAGCTCTGTCCGTGAGATGGATTCTCCTCCCAGTGGCATCCTATCGTTCTCATTGCTCACGGAACCAAATTCGCTGTCTTCCCCGGCTTCTTGTGGTAACCGTAACGTTCCCACTTAGAGCCACATTCATACCCAGCCTCTTGTTTTCTCATCACATGTCCAAGAAATGTAACACTGCCCTTCTATAATTGTTTTCATATTTGTTTTTATGATCCACGGTCAGGGTGCGTGGAGTGGTAATGGGCAGGGTGCGTGGAGTGGTAGTGGGCAGGGTGTGTGGTGTGGTAGTGGGCAGGGTGCGTGGAGTGGTAGTGGGCAGGGTGCGTGGAGTGGTAGTGGGCAGGGTGTGTGGAGTGGTAATGGGCAGGGTGCGTGGAGTGGTAGTGGGCAGGGTGCGTGGAGTGGTAGTGGGCAGGGTGCGTGGAGTGGTAGTGGGCAGGGTGCGTGGAGTGGTAATGGGCAGGGTGCGTGGAGTGGTAATGGGCAGGGTGCGTGGAGTGGTAGTGGGCAGGGTGTGTGGTGTGGTAGTGGGCAGGGTGCGTGGAGTGGTAATGGGCAGGGTGTGTGGAGTGGTAATGGACAGGGTGCGTGGAGTGGTAATGGGCAGGGTGTGTGGAGTGGTAATGGGCAGGGTGTGTGGAGTGGTAGTGGGCAGGGTGTGTGGAGCAGTAATGGGCAGGGTGTGTGGAGTGGTAATGGGCAGGGTGCGTGAAGTGGTAGTGGGCAGGGTGTGTGGAGTGGTAGTGGGCAGGGTGTGTGGAGTGGTAATGGGCAGGGTGTGTGGAGTGGTAGTGGGCAGGGTGCGTGGAGTGGTAGTGGGCAGGCTGCGTGGAGTGGTAATGGGCAGGGTGCGTGGAGTGGTCATGAGCAGGGCGTGCGGGCCACCCTGCAAGATGGTCCTTCGCGTCTTCTCATTGCAAATATTTCTTTATAACTCAACAGACGTAGCCACAACTCCTACATCACTAACATAGAGGCAAAGATCCCCCGTGTACCCTTCAACAGAATGTTGGGGCAAGTGCTGTAAGCGGGCACCTAATGAAGGCCGGCACGGCACACGAGGGGATGGGTGACCAGCACCACGCCCGGTCGCTTTTGTTTCCCACTTACGTATACATGCACACCGCAGCAGCTACTAATTTAAGGCTGAGTCGAGCGAGGGGAGACGCAGAGCCGGTTCAGATCGTCACCGAAATTGTCTGTAAGGGGTAATCGAATTCTCGTCTCCGGCTTTGTAGCGCGGCGCGCTAATCACAACCTCACCACTCCCCACACACAGGCACACCACGTGTTAAGGGCCCCCCCCCCCCCCCGAGCCCCACCGCTCCCCACACAAAGGCACACCACGTGTTCAGCCCCCCCCCCGAGCCCCACCGCTCCCCACACAAAGGCACACCACGTGTTCAGCCCCCCCCCGAGCCCCACCGCTCCCCACACAAAGGCACACCACGTGTCCAGGCCCCCCCCCCCGAGCCCCGCGGAGATGAGGAGAGCGGCAGACAGAGCGAGGGCATCGTTCGAGTGGTTTATGTTCTGCTCTTTGTTTGTTTGATTTTTGTAAAATCACGAGACATTATCATAAACAACAACAACGGAAACTAAATAATGAGCGGGATGCGTCACTTAAATAAGGCGGAGCAAAGTGACACAGGACACGGGGGGCAGGGGGGGCGCCTTTCCCAGCCTCGTGCGGGGTCACTACGAGAGTGGGAGGCACACCCTACAGCCCCCCCCCCCCTTCGTACACTCTTACCCCCATCGCCACCCTGGTGTCTACCTTCCCCCACCCATAGCCCTCATCCTCACCTCCAGCCACCGTCTTCTCTCCACCCGTCCTCACCCCCTAATCCACCCCTAACTCCGCTCTTCTCCACCCTCTCGAAGCCGGAGAGACCCAGAGTCTCGCCCTGGCGCTGGCAACCGGGGTCCCAGTGGGGTTCTCCACTGTGGGTTCCCAAAGAAAGGGGGTCCCTATCCCCCCACCCATCCCACGCCACCTCACGGAGTCGGTTGCCCCCCGCCACACATCCCCTCCCACCCCCCCACGTGGTCCGTGTACCCAAGCCCAGGGCTCTCGTGGGGGAGATGATGGGGTGCTTTGAGTACACGCGGCCGTGGGAGTACTATGGCAGTGTCTGTGCGTCCACAGCTATGGGATGGGTACACGGGTACGCGTGGGTCCACGAGTACGCGTATACAGCACACGTCAGCTCGTGGCCGTGTGCACACGTGTACGTATTCAGTATACATGAAAACACGGGTATGTGCGGGTCTGTTGCGTTTGGGGTACACGTGTGTATTCCTAAGTCCACAGGTACGTGTGTGTGCGTATCAGTGGCCGTGTGTTTGGAGTACACGGGCCGTGTCTTTGGGGTACACGAGTACGCGTGACTCCGTGGCAGCGTTTTGAAGAGCACTTGTGTAGCTGCCCTCCCGTCTACTCGTCCGTGGGTCCGGGCCGCGCGCGACAGTGAGGAGTCGGGGCGAGTGGTGGGGACGATCAGAGGGACGACTCACGCGACGACTCACATCTCTGAATGGGCGATGCCATGGAGTGTGCCGAGGGACCGCGCGCGAGAGAAAGCGGGGAAGAGAGAGAGAGGCAACATTAGAAGAGAGGTTGTGAGAGGGAATCAGGGAGGTTGAGATGGTGAGAGAGGGATCGGAGGGGGGAGATAGGGATTGAGATGGGGAGAGAGAGAGGGAGGGCAGGGTAGAGATGGGAGATGAGGTGGGAGAGCGGGGGAGAACGGACAACAGCGTCTCCCATGAATTAAAATCTTTCCAATTATGTTTTCCAACCGCAAAAAGTTTTAATATCAGAGAGGATATGAGCGTGGGAGGGTGTGGGGGGGGGGGGGGGGAGAGGGTAGAGCGGGAGGGAGAGGGACAGAGCAAGGAGGAGTGACCGAGAGCCGGGTTCGTGCTGCTGCCACCCCCGCCCAGTTACCGCTGTCGGTCCCCGTGGAGCCGAGACCTCGTGTCGCTGGACGCAGGGGGGGGGGCAGTCAATGATTGAGGGTGATAGTGGGTGAGGGGGGCATGGGCGACGGCTCTACTCCCTCTCGGGTGGCTTCACGTGAAACAGTAGCAAATATAAAATCGGTGTGTACACGCATACACGTACACGTCTGTCAGACTTAAAATCATCTCTTAGAAACATTCCAGCGGCGGGATGAAGGGGGGGATACTGAGACGCTGAACCCGAGATGAGGACGGTCGTAAAAATGTCGCCGTTGTGCAGATTCTCGGGGGGGGGGGGGAGTGGGACTGCGCGTGAGGGGCGGGGGCTTGGGGGTGTGGGGGTAGCGACTCCAGCCCTAGGTCCGTGACCCCCATGATCCACTTCCTATCGGTGGGCGTCTGGGTCCCCCCGCGATCCCAGGGCCAGTGTCCGGGGCCGCACAGCCCCGCCATGCTCCCGGCGTCTCCTGGCATCCTCGAGTCTCCAATCTCCAAGTCTTCCGGTTCCGCGTCTTCCAACCTTTGGGTCTCCCGCCGTCAAGGCTCCCACCTACATCTTTCGCATCTTGGAGTCTTCCAATCCCACGCGCTCCTCATCATCTCCCACCTTCGGATTTCCCTCCCCCGAGTCTCTCACACGCAGACGCTCCTCGTATCCCCCACTACCCCCCACCCAACCCCCGTTAGCCACATCCACGCAGGCGCCAGGAGAGGCCGTGCGTTGTGTGTGTGTCCATCATCATGCTGCTGCTGCTGCGGAATGGTTGCGTCTTGAATGTTCGCCCAGGGCGGCTCCTTTCGGTAGCGCACGGCTCGCGGGGAGGTACGGGAGGGTGGGGGTGGGGTGGGTGTGGGGAGTCTGGGGGAGTCTGGGGGAGGCCCGTGTGGGGTCAGGATGGGGGAGTCGCGGGGCTCTCCACTCGCCACTTCTTGTAGTAGAGTTTGGACTCTGCTGAGGACGCGAGGAGGCGGGTGGAGGGAGACAGTGGTGGAAACGCAACGAGTTAGTCGAGAAATCATATGGACGCGTACACATTCAGTACACAGAGACAAATATCCCCCGTGTAGCCTTCAACAGACTGTTTGGGCAAGTGCTGTTAGCAAGCAACGATGAAGGCCGACACGGTACACGAGGGGGTGATGTGGCCAGAACCTCGCCCGGCCGCCTTTATCTCCCCGGTGGCGATGTTTACACATGACACCGGGTATTCGTAAAGGCTGAGTCGACTTAAAGGACGCACAGGACCTTTTCAGATATGTGTCACTGATATTGGTCAGGAATCGACCACGTGTCAACAGGGTTCGGAACGTAGTGCGCTAACCAGTGCGCTAACCACTGCGCCACCGCTCCCCACAGCGTGTACGCACACGTCCAGACTCACATACATACACACTCTGCATACGAATTCTTACACAAGAACATACACACTCATGCACACACTCACATACACTCGTGCACGAATTGATATACACGCGCGCACTCACAGACACACACACACAACTCACGTATATACACGCGTTAATCATGCGCACACACACAAACAAACACCCACGAAGCCACACCAAAGGTCCCTTCAGCACATGAGGTGATGGTTGTGGGGGGGTGTGACCAGCATCACGCCCAGCCGACTTTTTCTCTGCACAACTGATGTTTAATACACATTTCCCCAGGTACTCGTTTTACGGCTGAGTCGACCTAGGGGAGGCCCAGGGACGGTTAAAATGTTCGTCACTGTTACTGGTCCTGAGCGCTCGGGATTCGTAACACAGTGCGTTAACCACTACGCCACCGCTCCCCACAAACACACACACATAAATCACGTATGTAAACACACGTAACCTGGATATACACACACACATTAGCACGCGGTAGCGGCGGACCGGGGATCAGTCCCCACGTCGTGACGCGTAACGCGTGCTGTGGATGTGGGGCGCGGGGGAGGGAAGGGGAGGGTGGTAGCTCGGGGTGGGGGGGGGGGGCGGTGGGTGGTAGCTCGGGGTGGGGGGGGGGCGGTGGGGGCGGTCACCCTGCATTGTGTGCTCCGGGTCGGGGTGAGCGACTTCGTCCTCGTCCAGTGTCTCCTGGTAGGCGCCGATGTCTGCGCAAAGACCACCGCGTGTCAACCAAACGGGTCCACGATCCGAGGATAAACCCGAGGGGCAATCTTAACAGCTTCACGACTCAAAGGTCAACTACGTTGCTATCCGTGTGTCCACCCGTGTGTCCACCCAAGGGGTCTACTACCCGTGCTTCCAACCCTACCGAGACGTGTGAGCGCAAGCGCGAGAGGAGCTCATTCATACTCTTTGATTCTTTCGGTAAAGTCACGTCGGTAGAAAAAATAATAGATCACGACGTTTCGATCGCAGCGACCGTCATCAGGTGAGACAATCACAGCAGGGAACCGCCTCTTTCAAGCTTAAAATCTTAGTAGGTCATTCATTCATCGACACAGTCATTCATCGATAGCCATTCATCGATACGGTCATTCATCGATACAGCCATTCATCAATACAGTCATTCATTGATAGTCATTCATCGATAGCCATTTACCGATACGGTCATTCATCGATACAGCCATTCATCGATACAGTCATTCATCGACACAGTCATTCATCGATACAGTCATTCATCGATACAGCCATTCATAGTTCATTTCATAGTTCATTCATCGATACAGTCATTCATCGATACAGTCATTCATCGATACAGCCATTCATCGATACGGTCATTCATCGATAGAGTCATTCATCGATAGCCATTCATCGATACAGTCATTCATCGATACAGTTATTCATCGATACAGCCATCCAACGATACAGTCATTAGCCATTCATCGATACAGCCATTCAACGATATAGCCATTCATCGATACAGTCATTCATTGATACATTCATTTATCAATACAGTCATTCATCGATACAGTCATTCCTTGAATCGTTGATTCGTTCGTTTGTTCACACACGTGACCACGCCGTCTGTTCACTCCACTGAAATGCAACACTTCCTCTCCACGATAAGGGAGCCATCACAACAGGAAATGCGTGCATGGTTGGACACCAGTGGTGAGCTAACCTCTGTGTGTGTTGTTAACTCTGCCTGTGTGGTAGCCCGCCTCGCGGAAGCCGCAATGTCCCATGTCCAACACAGCTCAGACCGCCACCCACACCCCCCAGGATCCAAGTGTCAAGTCGAGTTTGTCCAACCAGGTGAGAACAAATATAAATCGGTACAAAAACAATTGTATCGCACGAGGAGTTGTGAACATTGCAGGCGCGACGGACCGCGAGACAGACCACGTAACATCACTCATTTGTATTGCTGCATCTTTGTCAGCTCTGTACCCGTGGCGCCGCACGGGGAGGGAGTGCAACGGGAAGGGCAGCTCAAGGGCAGCAGAAGGGAGGAAAGATGAGCGGGAGAGGGAAGGGAGGCCGGGACGGAAGTGGCCGAGACGGACACGGAGGAGGGCAACGTTCAGGAAGAGCAGCAGGGAGAAGAAAGAGGCGCGCCGGGCAGGGAGGAGTGCAGCAGGGAGAGAAGGAATGGCCGGGGCCAAGATGTCGGGGATGAGAGGGCGATGACGATGAGAGGATGAAGGGAAGAGAAGGAGGAGAGAGAGAAGGAAGGAGCGAGCAGATGTGAGCTGCACGGAGGAGCAGCGTCTACTTCCACAGGAGGCGGTGGGGAGAGTGGGGGGGATTGAGAGTGGGTATGGCCACACAGAAGTCACGTTCTTTACGGGAGGCTCAAGCTGATTTTGAGATACAGATGAGAGTTGATTTGAAACCCCAGCAGAAATCGGTACGCGCGTGTTTCGTGAATGTGTGCACGCGTTAGTGCGTATGCGTGTACGTGTGCGTCCGTGTGTACGTGTGTGTCCGTGTGTGTGTGTACACGTGTGTGTGTGAACGTGTGTGTGTGCACGTGTGTGTGTGCACGTGTGTGTGTGTACGTGTGTGTTTGTGTGCACGGCTCACCGTGGAGTGCCGCGTGCACGCTCTCCGTGGAGCTGGCGCGCTGCAGCGCGAGCTCGAGGCGCTCACGGCGCGCGCGCTCCGCCTCCAGGCCCTCGGCCAGGCGGCGGCGCGCGCGCCTCTCGCGACGCACGCGCTTCTGCAGCATCTCTACACGGGGCACGCAGTGGGAGGGGGGGGGCAAGGAGAAGGGGGTGTTCACACTTTACAATCGTCCCGCGAACTGCAACTTCCCCGCTTACCCCCGTCCACCCCACTCCCCCACCCCCACCACTCAAAGATCCTCACATAAGGATTCAAGAATCTCTTTGCTGTACCGCTCGTTTCTGGCCGCTTTGCATTCGTGGTGTACCGTATGTGGTACGCGGCATGGTGTGTGTTGGCACATTGTACGCGGCATGCATGGTGTGCGATGTATCGCGTATGACCAAATCAACTTAAATGCGCCCCATCTCGCCAGAATATGGGGAGGTTGAGACTGGGCAGGTTGTCACGCGCCGTGTGCGGGTCACGCTGTGGGCAGCAGACGCCAGGGTAGCATCGGGATGTGTGGCCACATAACCCCCTCATCCAGCAGTGTACTGATTCGGAAAGGATGTAGAAGCACTTTAATTTTTATGATGGATGACGATGATGATGGTGCTGATGGCGCTGATGATACTGATGAGACTAATAAGGCTGATGATAGTGCTGATGATGATGGTGCCGATGATGATGGTGCCGATGGTGATGGTGTTGATGATGATGGTGCCGATGATGATGGTGCTGATGATGATGGTGCTGATGATGATGATGCTGATAATGATGGTGCCGATGATGATGGTGCCGATGATGATGGTGCCGATGATGATGGTGCCGATGATGATGGTGCTGATGATGATGGTGCTGATGATCATGGTGCTCCGCACCGCGTGCCGCCGTCTCGGCGTGGAGCTGCCTCTCCGCCCCCTCCCTGCGCTCGCGCTCCCTCAGCAGTTCCATGCGCGTCTCCTCCAGCTCGGCCAGGACCTGCCGCTCCTGGGCGCGGTTCGTCTCCATAGCGACCTTCAGCAGAGCCTGGGGGAAGGGGGGGATAAGAAAGGGGGGGGGGTCGGGGGATGACCCAGGTGTAGTTGGATGGCTCGGGTTGGAGGGTTATAACTTGACCCTCGTGGTGTCCATGGGCCAGGCGTCGACAGCACCAACTTGGAGCTGCAACTGCTCCGCGCGGCCCGGATTCTGACCCTCGCCCTGGGTGTTGGCTGTCGTCGTAGAGATGCTCTGACCCGGGTTACAAAGGTGGACTGCAGGTGTCAGGGTGTGAGTGGCGGTGAGTGAGAGTGCTTGAGTGGGAGTGAGTGGGAGTGAGTGAGTGGGAGTGTCTCACGATCCCCGCGTGAGACAGGAGCCGTCACCTGGATGTTGGAGAGCAGTTCCGACGTGGAGCAGCAGAGCGCGTGGGGGAGACCTGGGGAGGGCAGGAACTGAGTCCTTCCAGTACCATTCAGAGTCGACAGTGACCCTGCGCGCATCATCACCCCAACACCACCAGCGTCATCAGTCATGATTCATCCACTGCTGAATGAATCTCTGCCCAAGCCATTGGCATGGGCCCTGCGCATTGGAATAAAATCGACCAACATTGGCTACACACTGTATGGGCTCCTGATAATTCCTAGTCGGGATGAAACCGCTGAGCACAGTTGTCTCGTTGTGTTTGCTCTGCGTGCGTCAGTCGACTTCCTGGCTGCCCTGCAAACGAGATGTTCCCATCTCACGGGGTTTTCCACGTGAACTGCAGATGAGCACTAAAGCCATCAATGCTCATTCGAGTGGTTAATAAATTCACTCTTGCGAAATCGGACTCATCCTGGTCACTTCAGTGATTACCTATTAAAACAAACATAACTCATTCACTCACCCACTCACTCAACCACTCACTCACGCACTCACTCAACTACTCACTCACATACTCACTTGCTCATTCACCTACTCATTTACCCACTCCTCACCGTGTTAAACAAAATCCACTTGCAACCTTGACTTGAATATTACTTAGGTCTCTAACTCCAACCCTGTTTACGAGGAGTTCGGCGTGGAGCCAATGACCGCACGTGGTGGGGGGAGGTGGGGGGGAGGGGGCGAGGGGGGAGCGGTTTCCCAACCTCAGCCGCTGAGTGGCAGCTGCGGCCATTCCCGATAGCGTGCTTCCCGATTCGTGACTCGGGGCTTCCCTTATCTGATGCAGCTCCTGGTCCGAGGTTTGGGGGTGGAGGTGGGGGGAGGAGGCGTTTTGTGGCCCAATGGGAGGGACGGGTCCCTCCCAATGGGAGGGGGGGGGGTACTACTTGCCAGGGACCCCTAATGTACCGGCCAGCGGGGGTCCAATCGGCCGGGATTGGGCAGCGTGAACTTGAAACTCGAATCGAGTACCGCGTGCGCTCTGGGAACCCGTGCAGGAATTCCCCAGATTTCGCTATCGTCATTCCTCACCCGTTGCACTCGCTGAGAGTTGAATGAAAAATAAATACGGAGGTACTTCTGCGCATCTCCTTCCCATTTGTGTTTCTCCTCGTAAAAACAATAAAAGTGTGTATGTGTGTGTATGTGTGTGTATGTGTGTGTGTTTTAATTCATCCCATCAGCCAACGCAGCACTTCTGGGAGTGGTGGGTTTATTTTTTTCCCCAACGGCATTCGTTAAACGCAGCAACACCCCAGCACCGGTTTTGAAATGCAGTGTCTCGTCAGCAGAGGCAGGCTTGGCTAAACAAAGCTGGTGAACTGCCAGAAGTGTAGAGGCAAAGGCCCTCTCTATTCGCCACGCGTGAACCCATATCTAACAGAGGGGGGCCTCGCCCATGAACATCTGGCAGTGTTCTCCAGACGAGCCGGGTGGGGCTATTCTAGCCAGCTCGACGATTTCGTGCATAGATGTCGGGCAAATGATAGACGTGGACATTCATTATGATAATGAAATAACTTTTTTTGCCTTGGGCAAAATATATCAAACAATTGGGACTGCAATCCATTCCTCTGTCAATCCACTGCTGGATGAGTCTTGAGACTATTATTTCAAGAGGATGTCTGCCATATTGTGATGTAATTAGCCAATTCCACTTTAATAAGTCTTGGGTATTATGAAGGCAATTTAACAGAGGCATAAACTAGATTCAAAGTTTTCGTGACCGCAGGAATTATTCTTTGGTTATTTCGGTAAAGTCACGTAGAAATTAAATTAAATAATCAACCAGGTGGGGGTGTTGACTGTTGTGTTGGCCGACTCTCTGTGTTGTAATGCATTATATTTCCAAGTTTACTAAGTTTGTGTTCTCATTCATTTGTACCTGATGATGGTTGCTTGTGTTGCAATCGAAACGTCGTATTGTATTATTAACAGAGGCATGTTTAATAGCGTAATACGTGGTGTGATATGTAGTACACGAACAACGTTTCGAGGCAATGAGCCTGGTTAAGCTCGAGAGAGTCCCCCAGTTGACGCCGATTCACTCCCATGGATACATTGCGAATGGCGTGCAATGCCCACTCGCTCTCTCCATTCGCCTTGTCCAAACTCGCACTCTTGCGTACTCTCTGCCTATGCATCCTGTCACGTGAAGGAAGACTCTCCTTCGGAGTCTGTGGGCCAGAGCGGAGCTTAGTACCACCGAGGGTAGAAAAACCCGAGCAGCACTGACGCATTCATACGGATCGTAGGAGTGGATTGTTCGAAATACCACTCAATCCCTCGGTTGTCACATCGCTCACCACGCTTGGCCACGTAAAAAAGACTTGAACCGCGAGAGTGATGGCACCTCTTCCATCTGGTCTGGGCTCATGGATCATTGCAAAATGAATTGGTCGACCATCGCAATGTAGCAAGGCCCTCGTGAAAGGGGGACGTGAGACTCAATTGTAGCGAGAGCAGAACGCCGTCTGCGGGCTTTTGCGTCAGATCACGTGGCTCCCACGATATTTTTGTGAATCGGGTGGGGGGCGTGGTTGATGGGTGCACATCCCCCCCTCCCCAGGGGCGGGGTGAAGGGGGTGGGGGGAAGTGAGACGTGCGCTCTGTCCTACGTCCCCGGGACGCTGGAGGACAAACACAGCCTTGTTTGTGTCTCGGTAATTACGGCTAATCCGCATCCAATTACGGGCCGCCTTATCTCACAGAGAGAGAGTCGCTGCTGCGCATCTCTCTCCCGCCTCTCTGTCGTTCCCTCTCCCCTGCCGCTGTCCGCACTCTTCCCTATCCTTCCCGTGCCCCCCACCGTGCCCCCCCCCCCGGCGTGTTTATGCGGAGCGAACGTGCGCGCCACGCCCCGCGGGCTACAGCGACTCCGCTACTGCGACACCGCAACAACAACAACGACGCGAACACCAAGAGCACAATAGTGTTCAACAATCACACCGACAATAGCTCAACAAATATACAACAGCACCTACAACAACATGAATGCGTGACCGTGTTTGTGTGAGCGTGTGACACTGTGTGAGTGTGACACTGTGTGAGTGTGACACTGTGAGTGTGACACTGTGTGTGTGACTGTGTGAGTGTGACACTGTATGAGTGTGACACTGTGTCACACTTATGTGTGAGACAATGTGTGAGAGGGGAGCGGTAGTGTAGCGGTTAGTGCACTGCGCAATGAACCTGGCGACCCCGGTTCGATTTCCGCTCACGGCCAACACCAGTGACGATTATCTGAACCGGTTCTGTGCCTCCCCTAGGTTGACTCAGCCTTAAACGAGTACCCGGTGCGGTGTGTAAACATCGCCACTGGGGTGAAAAAGGCGATCGGCGTGGTGCTCGCCACCCACCTCCTCGTGTACCGTTCCGGCCTTCATAGGTGCTCGCTAACAGCACTTGCCCCTACAGTCTGTTAAGGCTATACGGGGAATCTTTGTCTTTATCTGAGTGTGACACTGTGTGACGCTGTGACACGGTGAGTGCAACACTGTCAACCACATTATGTACGCCGATGATTTGGTAATTGCTGCTCATTCAGAGGAGGAGTTGGAAACGCTGCTGCTGAAACAGGAGCGTGCCACTAAGAGGTGGGGCCTTACCATCAGCCCCACCAAAACTAAGCGCCTGTCTGAGTATTTTGTACCATGGGACACTCCACCCCCACAACTCCCAATCGGTGATGGGGCAGTTGTGGAGAGAGTGGAGAGTTTCCCATACCTGGGCAGTGCGATCATGACCGGCTCCGGTTTAGCAGCAGAGGTCTCACTCCTAATCAGTCGAGCGGCAACGCTGTGTGGAAGCGACCTGGTCTGTCGCTCCCCACGAAGCTTCAGGTCTTCTCGGCCATAGTCATTCCCTCCCTTCTCTACGCTTGCGAAACGTGGGCCCTCCTAATAGAACATCTTCGCCGGTAAGAAACATTTAGGCTCGCCTGCCTACGATCCATCCTGGGTTTAACCAGGCTGGATTGTGTGAGGAGCTCACAAATCCTTGAAAGATCTGGGCAAAGTCCCATCGGTGAGCTCCTCTGGCAGGCAATGCTGCATTGGCTGGGTCATGAAGCCCGCATGCCCAGCCACCGCATGCATAAACAGCTTTTGTTCAGCCGGATCGAGGGGACTAAACGGACGCGGCACGGGCTAGAGAAGAGATGGAGTGATGTGGTACAGGAGGACGTGGAGCTGAGTCGACTTGCCGATGACTGGTACCAGGGGTGTCAAGATCCGCCTCAGTGGAGGAGGCTCGTGAAGGACGCTACTGGGCAGTTGGAGGCAGTCGCCCTCCAACAACAACGGAGGGCGGAGGAGCGATGCTCACAACAACGAGCGGAGCGCTGGGTAGCTAAAGCACAGCAGGTTGGCACAGTAGGGGGCACAGATGGTGCATCAGCCAGTCGTCTCAGTCAGTCGAACCGTGGCACCTGTGTCTGCCCCGTGACCTCCTGCCAGCGGGCGTTCGACACTTCACGTGGCCTCAGGGTGCACATGGCCTGGCACAAGCGTCGTGGTGACGTCACCGCCACTTATTGGCGAATGGCGGTTGTTGTAACACTGTGTGAGTGTGAGACTGTGTGAGTGTGATACTGTGAGTGTGACTGTGTGAGTGACACTGTGAGTGTGAGACTGTGAGTGTGACGCTGTGGGAGTGTGACTGTGAGTGTGACACTGTGTGTGTGACTGTGAGACTGTGAGTGTGACAAAACAACCCCCTACCTCCTTGCGGTGCCGGACGGGCAACTCTGTCGTGGACAGTGCTGTGGGGGGAGGGCTAATTCCGATTGGCTCCTCCCCTTATGGCGTTTGTGACTACCACAGGGGCTAAACGGGGGCTCTGGACGGGTGCGAGGGGCTAGTAACCCCTCCACCTTCAAAAATGTACCACTAAACTACGACTAAAATATGTAACTGATAAGCTTGTGCTGGAGGCCCCGGGGGGACAGGCGTCTATGACGTCTCCTGGACAAACCCCAATTGGCGGAGCCAGGAGATTGAATCTCTAAACTCGGGGCTCCTCCAGAAACAACGAAAAGCCACTTCGGGTGGCCACGTGGAATGTTCGAACGCTCACTGCGGAGGAGAGGCTGCCACTCCTCTGTCTGGAACTGGACCGGTACCGCCTGGATCTCTGTGAAATTCAGGAGGTCCGGTGGACCGTTTCTGGCTCCTGCCACCCGCATGCCCAGCCACCGCATGCCGAAACAGCTTTTGTTCGGCCGGATTGAGGGGGCTAAACGGGCGCGGCACGGGCTAGAGAAGAGATGGAGTGATGTGGTACAGGAGGACGTGGAGCTGAGTGGACTTGCCGATGATTGGTACCATCGGTGTCAAGATCGGCCTCTGTGGAGAAGGCTCGTAAAGGACGCTACTGGGCAGTTGGAGGCAGTCGCCCTCCAACAACAACGGAGGGCGGAGGAGCGACGCTCACAACAACGAGCGGAGCGCCGGGTGGTTAAAGCACAGCAGGTTGGCACAGTAGGGGGCACAGATGGTGCATCAGCCAGTCATCTCAGTCAGTCGACCCGTGGCACCTGGGTCTGCCCCGTGACCTCCTGCCAGCGCGCATTCGACACTTCACGTGGTGCACATGGCCTGGCACAAGCGTTGTGGTGACGTCACCACCAATTAGTGGCGAATGGCGGCTGTTGTTGTTGTGACACTGTGTGAGTGTAACACTGTGTGAGTGTAACACTGTGTGACTGTAAGACTGTGTGAGTGTTACTGTGAGTGTAACACTGTGTGAGTGTAACACTGTGTGAGTGTGAGACTGTGAGTGTGATTGTGTGAGTGTGACACTGTGTGAGTGTGATACTGTGCGTGTGACTGTGTAAGTGTAACACTGTGTGAGTGTGAGACTGTGTGAGTGTGAGACTGTGATTGTGCCTGTGTGAGTGTGACACTGTGAGTGTGAGACTGTGAGTGTGACGCTGTGGGAGTGTGACTGTGAGTGTGACACTGTGTGTGTGACTGTGACACTGTGTGAGTGTGACTGTGTGAGTGTGACACCGTGTGGGTGTGACACTGTGTGAGTGTGACACTGTGAGTGTAACACTGTGTGAGTGTGACTGTGAGTGTAACACCGTGTGAGTGTAACACTGTGTGAGTGTAACACTGTGAGTGTAACACTGTGTGAGTGTGACTGTGAGTGTAACACGGTGTGAGTGTGAGACTGAGTGTGACACTGTGAGTGTAACACTGTGTGAGTGTGACTGTGAGTGTAACACTGTGTGAGTGTGACTGTGAGTGTAACACTGTGTGAGTGTGACTGTGAGTGTAACACTGTGAGTGTAACACTGTGTGAGTGTGACACTGTGAGTGTAACACTGTGTGAGTGTGAGACTGTGAGTGTGACACTGTGTGAGTGTGACACTGTGTGAATGTAACACTTTGTGAGTGTGAGACTGTGAGTCTGACTGTGTGAGTGTGACACTGTGTGAGTGTGACACTGTGTGAGTGTGAGACTGTGAGTGTAACACTGTGAGTGGAACACTGTGTGAGTGTGAGACTGTGAGTGTAACTGTGTGAGTGTGATAATGTGAGTGTGACTGTGTGAGTGTAACACTGTGTGAGTGTGAAACTGTGTGAGTGTGAGACTGTGAGTGTGACGCTGTGGGAGTGTGACTGTGAGTGTGACACTGTGTGTGTGACTGTGACACTGTGTGAGTGTGACTGTGAGTGTAACACTGTGTGAGTGTAACACTGTGTGAGTGTGACTGTGAGTGTAACACTGTGAGTGGAACACTGTGTGAGTGTGAGACTGTGAGTGTGACACTGTGTGAGTGTGACACTGTGTGAATGTAACACTTTGTGAGTGTGACTGTGAGTGTAACACTGTGTGAGTGTGAGACTGTGAGTGTAACACTGTGAGTGGAACACTGTGTGAGTGTGAGACTGTGAGTGTAACTATGTGAGTGTGATACTGTGAGTGTGACTGTGTGAGTGTAACACTGTGTGAGTGTGAAACTGTGTGAGTGTGAGACTGTGAGTGTGACGCTGTGGGAGTGTGACTGTGAGTGGAACACTGTGTGAGTGTGACACTGTGTGAGTGTGACACTGTGTGAATGTAACACTTTGTGAGTGTGACTGTGAGTGTAACACTGTGTGAGTGTAACACGGTGTGAGTTTGAGACTGTGAGTGTGACTGTGTGAGTGTGACACTGTGTGAATGTGACACTGTGTGAGTATGAGACTGTGAGTGTAAAACTGTGAGTGGAACACTGTGTGAGTGTGAGTGTGAGACTGTGAGTGTGACTGTGTGAGTGTGAGACTGTGAGTGTGAGACTGTGAGTGGAACACTGTGTGAGTGTGAGACTGTGAGTGTGCCACTATGAGTGTGAGACTGTGAGTGTGACTGTGTGAGTGTGACACTGTGTGAGTGGAACACTGTGTGAGTGTGAGACTGTGAGTGTGACACTGTGTGAGTGTGACACTGTGTGAATGTAACACTTTGTGAGTGTGACTGTGAGTGTAACACTGTGTGAGTGTAACACGGTGTGAGTTTGAGACTGTGAGTGTGACTGTGTGAGTGTGACACTGTGTGAATGTGACACTGTGTGAGTATGAGACTGTGAGTGTAAAACTGCGAGTGGAACACTGTGTGAGTGTGTGAGTGTGAGACTGTGAGTGTGACTGTGTGAGTGTGAGACTGTGAGTGTGAGACTGTGAGTGTGCCACTATGAGTGTGAGACTGTGAGTGTGACACTGCGTCAGTGTGACACCGTGTGGGTGTGAGTGTTACTGGCACCCTCTTTTACCATTCGGTTGCCGTGCCGGCCTTCAAATGTGCTCGCTTACAGCACTTGCTCCTACAGTCTGTTGACGCTATACGGGGTATCTTTATCTTTGTGTGCGACTGACCCGCCTCCAGGAGCTGCTCCTCCCGTTCGGACCCCGCTCCGTGTCCTGGGGGGCCCTGGTCCCTCCTCTCGCTGGGAGCCCCGGGGGAGCGGGGCCCCAGGGAGAGGTCGAGCATGCCCTGCGCGTCCGACTCCCCATTGTGCTGGAGCGCGTCTAGGGGAGGGGTAAGGGGGAGCCACTGAGTGAGGGTGGGGGTTTGGGGGAGTTTTCAGATCCGAACCAGTTCAGATATCGCTCGCCACTGATGTTGGCCGTGCCCTGGAATAGAACTCAGGTTGCCAAGTTCACAGCGCGATGTGCTATCCACTACGCAGCCCCTCCCTCCAAGACGTCCCTTGATATCCCTGTGAAACCCCCAAATCCTCGATATCCCTGTGTAATTCTCAGATCCCGCATATCCCTGTGACACCTCGTACCTTGCTGAACCCGATTGCCCCTTAAATAAAACGACAATCCCCGCTGCGCGTCGTCACCCCCCCTTCCCCCCCTCAGAGACGGGTTCACGTCCCCCGGATCCCCGCGGTCAACCGGGAGCAGCTCCCCCCCGCCCGCCCCTCCCCCGCCGCTCACCGTGCTCCGGCGAGGCGGGATCCCGTGACGGCGTTGACGAGAGGCTGCTGTCGCTGCGCGCGGACGAGCGCCGGCTCGCGGGGGGCACGGGCGAGGCGCGCGGGTGGCACGGGGCACGTTCCTGCCGGGGGTCAATGGCAGACGCGCGTGTGCGTGACCTATACACTGAGGTCAGGTCAGGTCACAGCAGGGCAGCAGGGAAGCAGGGCAGCAGGGCAGCTCCACGGACCACAGTGTCACGGTGCAGATTCTCGTGTCGGCCCCTCGGATTTCATTTTGGTTCCCCGAACTTAATCCTGATGACGCTTGACGCAGCTGCGAATACTGCGCTCTTTGTTCATCGCAGGCCCAAACGCCGAGCGACCAGAAACCGCTCAAGGGTGAACACGAGTCTTGGACTGAGCAGGGTTAAGCGACTTCATAGCCGAGCAACACGAGGGGAGATACAGAGAGAGGGCGCGGTTCAGGCCACACGGGGCCACGTACCCTGATCACCGAGGTCTTGGGCGAGGTGCAGGGGTCAGGCGGGGAGCGCTGCTGCCCCCCCGAGGGGGCCCTGTGCCCCGCTGCGGGGTCCGAGTGAGCGGGCCCGTGCAGCGCGGGACCGAGTTGGCCCATAGAGGCGAGGCCCAGTGGGAGGAGGTGGTGCGGCATCATGACGAAGGGCAGCGAGCCCTTCACGTGCGCCAGCCCTGCACGCACGCACACCCACACAAAGACAAATATCCCCCGAATAAAATTAACGGAGTGTTGGGGCAAGTGCTGTTAGCTAGTAGCACCTATTAAGGCCCGCAGGGCACACGGCGTGAGTGAGTGGCCAGCACCACGCCCGGTCGCCTTTGTTACCCCAATGTTGATGTTTGCCCACTGCACCAAGTAATCGTTTGAGTTGATCTACAGGAGGCCCAGGACCGGTTCAAATACTCCACGCTGATGTTGGTCGTGAGCGGCAATCGCACTCGGGTCGCAGAGTTTGTAGGACAATGTCCGAACCAGTACTCTCCGGCTCCCCTATACTATCGCTGAACATGGACACATACACGCATGTACATTCGTTTGCAGCTCCTATGCTAGTTTACAGCCCCTATGCTAGTTCATGGCTTGTGCGCACAAGTACCTGGGTGGAGCAGATGTCCCTGGGTGAGGTGCGCGACGGCGTGGTGGGCGTGGTGGTGAGCGTGGTGGTGAGCGTGGTGAGCCTGCACGCTCTCGGGCAGTGTGGGGGACTGGAAGCGCTCCCTCTCCGCCGCGTCCCCACGTGCCCCTGCACGCGGTACCCACGGAAAGACAAAGATAAAGACACCCCGTATAGCCTTTGACAGACTATTGGGCAGCGAGTAATGTTTGCGAGCAGAACCTATGTATGTTGAAATTATGTCGCACCGTATGTAGCCAACCGTGCTAATCAGATGTGCGGGAGAAGGACAACAAACTAAACACAAAAAGCAATTTTAAAGAAACGAGTTTTCAATTTAGATGTAAAAGTGCACAGCTCCAGTGGCTTCCTAATATCGGAAGCAAGAACGTTCCAGACGAGTGCAGAAGTGCATCTGAAAGCGCGCGATGCGGTGACCGTCGTTGTTCGATGGTTTGCCAAAATCCGTTGCTGCGAGGATGAGCGAAGTGATGGTTTTTGCTCCTTGATGAGATCAGCAAAGTATCGTGGTGAATTATAGAAGGCCGGCACCAGTACACGAGGAGGGTCCGTGGCCACCATCACGCTTGGACGCCTTTGTCTCTCCTGTGCTGATGTTTACATGCTGCAGCAGGTACTTAGGGGTAGCCCCAGGGCCAAATTCGATATTTGGCACCGATGTTGGTCTTGAGAGAAAATCAAACTTAGGACACCGGGCTCATAACTCAGTGCACGAACCACTGCGCCACAGCTCCCTCCCCTCGCCTCCCCCCCCCACACGGGAAGGACCGTCTCCGTGAGTGCTGGATGACGGCCTCCCCACGCTGTGCCGGTCGTAGCGGGGAGTGGGGGGTTGCGTGACCATATTTCACCACCCCGGGTCAGTGTGAGCGAGTTGAGAACTCAGAGAAAATCGCCACGTGTGCATTTCGAGTGGAGAGGCGATCAAAGTCCCGCACAGACGGATTTAACAATCCTACTGTTGCGTCGTCTCCTCTTGTCGCCCGCGCAATGGGCCCAGATGCTCGCCACCTGCCAATGGGCTCAGCCTCGGATCGCGGTCGCCACGTGGGGCTGCTGCTGCGCCGCTGGGGGCTCTCCGTGGTGGAGCGAGTTGCGAAGTGGGGGGGGGGGGGCAGGGCGGAGATTGGAGGAGGGGGCAGCGATTCCGTTGTTTTTGCCAAACGGACCTTGACAGTCGCCATGGCGGTGGTCATCGTTTCCTCTGCACAAAGCCGCCGCGCACACAGGTGCCCGTGGGAGTGGCAGGGGAGGGGGTGTGAGGGCGGGCGGGGGGGCCGGGGTCGGGGGCGGCTGAATGCCGGGGGGATTCCATGAAAGGAAGCGCGTGGCTTTGACACGAATCTGCGCGTCACGTGGCCGCACGACGGAGCTCTCGGCCCCGTTACCGCCCCCCCCCCCCTTGCCCGAGCATCGAGCCCCTGTCCCGCGTGGCACGGGGAGCTCCCCCACTGACGCCCAACGCCCCCCTCCCTCCACACACAAATTACCCCGGGGAGTGATGCAGACCAACCTCGCCGAAGAGGTTAAGCCGACAGCTCTCTCCTCCTCTTTTCCGCCCCCCACCCCAAGGAAGCGGACCCCCCCCCCCCCCCATTCTCGAGACACTGCCTCCCCACCCCTTCCCCCTAACGAGCCAGGGTCGCCTTGATACTCCCAGACCACCCGCCGTCCCGGCACGGAGGAGCGCGGACAGAGAGAGAGAGAGAGAGAGCGCCATGGTGGAGAGAGGGGTGGGGGCTCCGTCACTCGCGAATAAAACACAATTTGGTGAAGAGCTGCCGACGCGAGCGCTCCGAGCCCCCCGGGGTCGCGAGTAAAGAGATTGGGGTCGAGAGAGTAACGCGCCTAATCTCCCCGCGACACCGCCAGCGCCGCCGCTAATGTGTCGTCAGCGGAACGCGCCCCTCGCTCCCCGCTCGGCCTGCAAGGCGACGTTGACTTTAACTGAGTGCGTGCGTCGAGGTTGGGATATTGGGGCGTGAAGATGGGAGATGGAAATTGCGGTGGATTTGTGTGCAGCGGCGAGGGGGGGGGGGGGGGGGTGCGGTCGCGCAGTGGTTTGGCGCTGCACTGCAACAAACAAAACAGCCCCTTAGTGCCGTTCCGGCCTTCATTGGCGCTGGCGAAGCGTACTTTCCCCCAACTAGACGGGGATCTCCGTGTATGTATTGTTGTGTTCGCTGGATAGAGCGCTTTCCAACATTTGACGAGCACGTAGTCGGTATGAAGCCACATTATTCCGCATTTAGCCACTGTGAGAAACGGCCGTCTGGGAAACACACAAAGATCCCCCATATAGCTTTTACAAACTGAAGGGACAAGTGCCGTTAGCTAGCACCTATGGCCAGCACGGCATGGGGGGGGGGGGATATGGCCAGCGCCACGTCCGGCCGCCTTTGTCTCCCCAGATCTGATGTTTTATCCACATCAGCTTTTATTTTAAGGCTAAATCGACACAGGGGAGGCCCAGGACCGATTCAAATATTTGAACTGTTACTGGCCGTGAGCGGGAATCACTGAACTCGGGTCGCAGGGTTCGTAACGCAGCGCCCTAACCACTGCGTTGCCGCTCCCAGCACACAAACGTAACCCACACAGACTGTTGGGCCAAGGGCTGCTAGCAACATAACCTGGCCCTTGTACCAGGCTCGGTTTACTTTGAGGCCACGTGAAGTGTCGAAGGCTCGCTAACCCAGGTGCCACACGCCGCACACTGTGCGCAAAACACAATACACAGCACGGGGTGGATGCGGATGAAGAGGAGTATGAGGAAGGGGGGGGGGGCAACGAGGATGACGGGGGGGGGGGTGACGAAGGAGGTGAAGAGGGGGAGGAGGAGCGGGTGGCCCTGTGTGCTCGAGGGGCTCTGCTGGCAGTAGCTGGGCTCTACGAGGCAAGGGCACAACAACAACAACAACACCAGGAGGAGGAATATTCTCCCCTCGGCCCCGGCGCGGTGAAACATTAACCGTGTCGCTCACAGTCTCCTGCCCTCGCGAAACTTTTCATTAACTCCACCGACTCCCTCACCCCTTCCTCCCTCGCCTCTCCCTCCCCCTCGCTCCCCCTCGCTCCCTCGCCCTCCCCGCTCGCGATTCGCCTCGCCGGCCGGAGGCCCCCAGCGCAACGCTGCTCAGACACAAATAGAGTTGTGCTGCTGCTACTGCTGCTAACTCGTGTTGGCAGCGGTGCACAAGCACAATTAATAACAAAAAACACTTCGGCAAATAACACCACTGTGACTATGAACAGACATAAATACATTAATGAACAACGTTTCGGGCAATGGCCTTTCTTCATAACAGAGAGATGATGATCTGATGATGATCTCGCAGCTGTAAGCAAAGGTCATTGTCTGAAACAACACCGATTTTCTGTGAGAATATTATTGTGTTATTTTATTTTATCAATTTATTATTTTATTCTCATTCTACGTGACTTTACCGAAAGAACCAAAGAAGACGATTTTCTTTGTTTCAAACAGCTCAGATACATGGCACCGGCGACTAGCGAGCTAGCCCTGTGGGGCAAAGGGTGGTGGTCTCGTTGATAGGAAGGGGGAGAGATGTAGGGGGTAGGTGAGGGTTGGTGTTGGAGGGAAAGGAGAGAGAGTGGTGGCTGGAGCACGCTACAGGCCGCACCGTCCTCTGCCCGTGCGCTCTGCTGGTACAGCGCAGGCGCAAGGGGCGCTACCATGGAGCTGCACCCGCAACGGTCTCCCCTCCACGCGCCGTTCACCCCCTTGCACTGACCGCTGCAACCGCTCAGCGCAACCACGCGCTTCACCAAGACGTTACCCGCTGTGTGACCTTGATCCCACCCGCCGACCCCACTCGCTGCCCAATGCTGCGCCCTCCCTCCACCCTCTGACCCCACTCCGTTCTCTCCTCCCGCCCTCTGCCCCGAGTCGGACTTGGATGTGCCACGCCTCGCAACGCAATTGCGTTGGTGTCTGTGGGGGTGGGGGCTAAGAGGAGGAGGGTGGGGGCAGGAGGAGGGGCAGCTGGGGGAGGGGGGAACGCAATGATTTATGCGTCCATGCCTGACTGCTCACCTCACATTATTGCTTTGTAAATGATTCATCAGTCTTTGGGTAGTGCACGCGGCGCGTAATCAGCCACTTTGACTAAAGGCCAACTCCACACTCTGTTCCTCTCTTGGCAAAATAAAATCATCACAGGTGCGCGTCGTCTCTCGTTTACTGCCACAGCGTGCGCGGCGCGGATAAAATAACTACCGACTTACAAAACAATCATCACCACCACCACCTCCACCACCACTGTGGCGCCACCCAGAGTCCCGCCCAGGTGTGGTGGTGCGCGCACTTTAGTCCAACGCCGTGGAGAATGGAGGCAAGGGTTGGTGGATTAAGTATAGATTTGTGAGACTGCCAAAACCTGCTCGGCTGGAAGGTGTCAGGATGATGGCGGTACAGCACGTGGGTTCGTGAACCCGATAAGCACGGTTGGCTACACACGGAGCGAAAGAAGTTCAACTTACATACACCACATCTGTGCGGATCTCGTATAACGCGACACGATTTTATTCCTCCAAGTTCTCCGCTTCATGTTCGCGAATAACAAACAAACCCTCATCAATGGCATCGACCAAACATCCCAGCGTGGATGTTCTTGAAACTCAGCGAGACGGCCGTGAATAAAGGGCATCGCTTCAGTTGTTATCCACACGCCGTGTGAGCGAACGACGAGAAGGGTTCGCGACCAAAACAGCGGCGGCGCCGCGCTGGAGGGAGCCGTGAGACCGCCCCGTGGCCGCGCGCGAGCAGCGTGGAGGGCGGAGGTGGTGGTCGAGGGTCAGGGGATGGTCACGTGGCTTTGATATTGACCTCCAGGCGGAGTGACGGCTGCAAGGGTTGGGACGTTTCTCAGTGAGCTGTATACACACGGGGCACGGGTCGCCTCGGCATGGGTGGGGGGGGGGGGCTTGAGTACTGTTACATGATCACTGTTACATTGCAATTATGGCTTTATTTTTTGGAGATTTCGAAAACGTTTTTTGGTTTGGACATGTTTGTTTTGTTGTAGTACGGAGTTAGACTGATGGCCTTAATCTAAGTTTTCTTGTGGTTATTGTTGTTGTTTGAT